TATCTTTTCATATCATAAAGTTCACCATAGATCTTGCAATTAACTTACCAAATTCCAACCTTTCTACTATTTTTATATTAACCAGTTAAAACACATTCTTAACGAATTGAAAATAAATCGCATACATCAATCCAACTTCCACACTTAATTAAACCTTATTATTCGTTATATTATCCTCCACCTCTATAGTTTTAATTATTATTTTTACACTAATACATTCTTTTTATCTCCATAAGATTTTTTATACCAAATATCCCATCTCCCGATTTTCCTGCCATTTCTATACTCACCCTTAAAAGTCACTTATGAATTTTCATTAAAATTATCACTTAATTCAATCCATTTTCCAACTTTCATATATCCTTATTCTTCATCATATGATCCACCACCACTATAATTATTATTTGATATTACACTTATTACAATTTATCATCTTCATATATCGGCTCAAACCAAATATCCCATCTACCAACTCTTTTACCACTTTTATATTCACCAATATATGTGATTTAAGATTCACTATCAAACGAAGAACTCAACTCAATCCATTTTCCAACTTTAATATATCCTTATTCTTCATCATATGATCCACCACCACTATGTTAATCATTTTCAATTTTACATTAATACGTTCTTTTAATCTCCAAAACTTTTTTTAAAATAAATATCCCATCTACCAACTTTGATGCCATTTATATATTCTCCAATATTGGTGACTTATGAAGCATAAGTAAAAGTATCACTTATTTCAATCCATTTCCCAAACTTATTAAAATTTAGCTCATCATAACTTCCACAAGAACTAATTTTGAATTTATTTAATTACATTTTTATATTCTCTCTATTGAATTCTGTTGTCCAAAATGTTTCCCATATTCCAATTTTATTACCCATTTTATATTCACCATTTGTAGTAGTGTATTCAAATAAATTATATTAGTCATTAAACTCAAACCATTTCCCAACTTTAATTGAACCTTGTTCTTTATCATATGATCCACCACCACTAAATGATTTATACCTTTTATTATTTTTACATCTTATAAAAAGGCTTTCCTTTTTCGTCCCTTTTTTCAATATCCCATCTATTAATTTTTTTTCCATTTTTATATTCACCATTATAAATAATTTCCCATTTATGACCAAAGAAATCACTAGGCTCTATCCATCTCCCAATCTTAAGAGAATCTACCTCATCATATAATCCACCACCACTAAATACACGTTTGAGAATTTTTTTACATGATTTCTCCTTATTTAAAAATATCCCATCTACCAATTTTTTGCCCGTTTCTATATTGACCAATATAAATGATTTATAAGGAGTCTTAAAATCCTTCGCTCAAATCAATCCATTCTCCAATTTTTGTACCATCTTCATCATATGATCCTCCGCCGCTTAAGAAATTTACTTTTAATATTTTATATCTTACCCTCTCCCTTCTTAAACCAAATATCCCATCTACCAATTTTTTTTCTATTTCTATAATGACCAATATAAGTGATTTAAGAGGACTCTTAAAATCCTTCACTCTACTCAATCCATTTTCCAATTTTATTACCATATTCATCATATGATCCAAAACCACTAATATAGTTTTACTAATAATATATTACATCAATTTATTATTATATTTATATTCTTCTTCGTACAAAATATCCCATAAACCAACTTTTTTGCCGTTTTTATATTCACCAGTATATTTGACTTTAGATTAATAACAAAATCTATCACTCAACTATGTCCATTTTCCATATTTTTGACCTTAATAGTTATAATGTCCAGCATCACTAAATTAAAAATAATTTGATCAATACATCAACTAATCATCATATATATACTTCCAAATCCCATATCTTATATCATCTATATAATATCCAGATTCGTATACTTCAGCCTTCCTTTGAAATAATTGAATGATAATTTACTTTCTATAATTTTTTGTAAGTTCAATCCACAAACCCTATTTTTTTTCATCATTAGAGTACCATCCACCAGCATCTCTTAAAATTTCACCTTCCCATGTTGTTGTCCATTTTCCTGCCTTTTAATTCAATTATTCATATTTTCCAGACCAATTTAGATGAATGAGTTATTCAAAATTAGTAAAATTTTAAAATTCCACAGATTAATTGCGTCTTAATTCTCTATTTTTTTATATATTAAGTTATTTACATTCTTAAGAGTTAACCATCAAAATAGTATTTTCTTTCATTTTCATTCGTCATTGTTACTATTTAGACAATTTTCTTAAACCATTTTAGGTTGTAAAAGTTCCATACTTCACAATCAAATACTTATTTTGTATTTAACTTTTGATTATTTTCACGCTGTTATTGATGGCTATTTTAATAAACATGTAT